CGCTCAGCACTGTTATTTCACGCACCAGGCTCCAGTGGCTCGTCCACATGTTACACATTCCAGCCCACCGGCTCCCGCGACGTGCTCTGTTTGCCCACCGGGGGCGTAGATAGAAGAAGGGGAGAGATGGCTAAGCGATGACTTGGTCGATAGGAATGAAGGCCCTCACTTCGAAGGTGGCCCTGGTTGAAACATCTTGGCTCCTTGGTTGGGGTCCGAAAGATGATGAGCGCATTTGGCTGGATACACTTGTTGACATGGCTAGGATCCGACCTCAGTGGCGTTTGTATTGTGGCTTTCTTTGTTCCCGATTATCTCTTTTAGCCTCCCTCTCCAACCACGATCTCATTTCTTAGCATAATATTATTTTACATAATAATTTTTTGTTGTTGCATGGTAGCCGGCTGGTAGCTTTCCAGAACGATGCCATCCGTTACTAGTAGCTCAGTCGGCATGCATCTGTTGAATCTTTTTTTTATGTCTTGCGGCACAGCGGCTGAGGTGTTTACCACTTCTAGCTAAAGTGTATGCTGATGATGATGCCTGTTGGCTGATCTGACCCAGAATGCAGACCTTAAAAGAATCAATGTGAAACGAGACTCTAGGTTTGATATACAGATTATATGCATCCATGACAGCGGCTTCGAGTTCGGCGGCAGTCTCTTGCTCTGTGGGCGGAGAAGAAGAGATTTGGGAGGGCAGAGAAAGCAAGAAGAGAAGAAGTAGAATAGGGCAGATTATACTCTCCTGCCATACATTGCGAGAGGGTTACGTTCGTGGTGCTCTATCTCTATCCTTGATTCAACAGTCTGTCACACAAAACCTTTAATGATTTAGAACAATGCACATGTGCTTTACAACGGTAATATGTTACGCGTCTATTAGCACGACCAGTTGCAGGGGGAAGTTGGCAGGTTTGTACCAATTTGATCAGGAATTTGAACACTGGCTAGTGCCCTCCATCGTCAGGGACAATGTGTGGCGTTATACTCTACACCAATCGACCCTTGAGCTTATAATTAGTAGACCTGTTTTTCCCATGGCTAGATTTGAGGGAAGTGGGCCATCGACCTCTTCCTAACTTCCGGGTAGGATTGGATTGTCTAACCTTTAATCATTGACCTGTCTGGCATGATTGACTCTGATGGCACTTGTAACGTGCCACCCAGCGTAGCTCAGTGGGTCACGTGGGTACGCAAACCATCGCATAATGTTAAGGTCCAGTTTCACCGCGATGAGCAGGACATACCATTGTCCATTGTATAGAGGCCTAGTGTTGTTCGATATATCGTGGCGGATATTACCTAGTGAATTTGTCATGGAAGATAGCTCAGCTGGACTGAGGGTTCAGTTAACTTATTCATCAATCTTTCAGTTCTTCGTTTTTGGAGACCCCTTCCCGCCAAAAAATGAAATCGTGTAGATTTGCGCACAGACCAACGCATAATTCGACTCAGTGAAAAGGTACCAAACTGATCTACAGTTTCGTACTCAGTTTGCCATCTAAAGTTGATTGCCATGTGATCACTTTTGTCCCCGTGTTCCCGAAGTGAGACGCTAAGTTGCCACTAGCTGAATCAAAGACAACCTTCGGTCCTATGAAAAGCACCATAGTGAAGTATTCATACCCATGGCACTGTTCTAATCTGTGAACTAGAAATATGTGGTCGACATATCCTCTTCTGGGACAGTAATCTGCATAGGTTTCACTGATTTGGCTCTCACGGGTCCTGAGCGAACACAGCATACGTGTGAGCGCAAAAATGACAATGTGCGTGATTTCTTGTCCACATTCTGTGACTTTTTGAGAATGATAATGTCACCTGTCAACTTCCGGTTTGATAATACCTTCCGCATCCCGTGTATTGAATAGCGCGTCGGCATCTGCCGCTGATGTATCTCTGCCGTTATCCATCAACGATGGAAAGAAGTCACTTCATTCAGGCGTCCTACTCCATTGGAGCAAGTTCGCATGGAAACCCTTTCATTATAAGAGACGTAACATCAGCGTTGTATGCTAGTTTTGATCTAAATAATGTTTGTGCCACACCAAATTTACCTGATTGCTCTTGCCCGGCGGTTTATTTCGCGTGTCTGGAACTAGTTCAAACATCCGGGCCGGCGATCAAAACGGTTGGGACAAAGACATAGGCGATTTGCTCATATTGGGGAGTACTTTGACCTGCAAATTTATTCGGTTTCCAGCGCAGGGCATATTCAGCCAATTGTGTTAACTTTTAATTTTTCCTCTTTAGATTTTGACGCTAAGTTAAAATCACATTTGGTTGACGCATATGTTGCACTGCTAATAATACTATTACTACTTCTAAAACAACAACAACAACAACAACTACTACTACTACTCCTGTCCTATAAAATGTTATTTCTGCTGTCACACCTTATCACAGAGTAATGTGGCTCTGGTCTTTACAGGGTATACGCTTTTCCAATAGAGCTGTTTATAATGAGGGTGCCTACAGCCCTTTGAACATTTTACTTATGCACCAATTACAGTCCTTATGTTAATAATATATCCTTCCATCATAAATGTCCCCATCGAATCGCTTATCATTCACCGAACGATGCACTTCACTAGGCTCAACTTGACCAAATTATCCTCGGCAACGATTGGTGCACGCTTCATAATTACTGATCGATTTAAGGCATTTACCCAAGGTCTGGTCACACTTTCATACGCACCTTTTTCATATGCTTCTTCTCTTCTCACCTCAGTGTTTGACAAGTGGCACTCTCAGGCCAATTCTGCCCGTCTTCTTTGTCTGACGGTTGTTAGGATCAATGGAAGGAATGCTGATCAGGATCTCTCCCGATCCATCACCAGGAGGGCCTCCAGACCCGGTTGCCTTTGTTATCTAACGCGTCCAAATTTAACGTGTATTTCTGTATCTTTGCGCGTAGAGCAGTTCCCCAGTTCACCACAACTGTATAACAGAAGCGCCAACTCAAATTTCTGGTGTACTGCTGTTGTTGACGATGACGATAGCCTATGTCACTGGATAGCATCTGTCCAGCGGTCTACATCCGATTAAGAGCGTGAGGGTATAAGGAACGCCTATGTGCTGGATAGGTCCAATGCAATAGGGAATGGCAGAATATCCTTCCAGAGTATCTGATTTTTCGATCCAAGAAAGCTAGAAGTATGCGGTCCACCTACGTAAACAATTTACGTATTGCTTATTTAGTTCATCGCAATTGGATCACAAACCAAATAAGCCAATTATTAATCCTGGAAAGCACCAGACGGCGGTTTCGTCTTCTTTGACCTCCTTTGGTGCGCATTCCTTCAGTCCTCTTCAAGTAACCGAACCCATGACCGCTGTTAGCCAGCAGCTTATGCTACTGAGCCATGTAGCACGATAGCTGGCAATCATAGAAGGTAATCTAACTTAGATATAGCTTGACCCTTTCGACCACTGATCGATGTTGTTAAGGTACACACACGTGGATGCCCTCTTATTCACTTATGTGCTCCGTACTACTACAGGCCGCGTCAAGGTCTACGGTGGCTTCTCGGATATCTTTCCAATAAGTGGCGTTATTCAGGGTTGCCCTATTTCCACATTTTTGTTCAACATCCTTGTGGACTGCATCGTGTAGTGTTTCCTTACAGAACCTTACGATGCAACCGTTGAGGTGCTACGTGGTGAAAAGCCAGTTTATCTCGATATTCGATCTGCGATATTCTCTCGTTACTTAACGATGTTGGGACGACACAATCAACCCTGAATAGCATTTCTGAAGTGGTCGCATCATTTCATATGCACCTTGTACGTTCAAAGTGCAATCTTGTTACAGTATAACAAGCCATTTGAAGACACCTTGACTCTTGATAGTGAGGAACTCGAGTTAGTTACTCAATTCACTTACCTTGGCAGTTGTATCAGCAACGATGGGCTCATAAACACTGAAGTCAGTTCACGTATTGCAAAACCTAAAACTACCTTCTTGAATCCTCAACATCTGTGGCCTCAGAAATGGGTTTCTTTCGGTCTGAAAGGCCACAGTGAGGGCTGTCCTACTCTGTGGTTGTGAAATTTGGCCCCTCCGATCTGAGGTGCCTTTAAGTCTGTTCATCTCGTTGTCTGCGAAGCATTGCTAGCGTCGGATAGCACCAGCGTGCCCGCGATGATGATGTGCTTAGACGAGTGCTGGAAATTGACAATCATGCTAGTTCCTTAGAACAACATATATCACGGAATAAGTTGCATTGACTTAGTCATCTTTTGTTTGCCTGATTTAGAGTAGCGCAAGGCTGGAGGTGGGCAGCGAGAAATGAAGACACTGACGACCAAAGCCGGTGCCGTCGGTACCACTCGCTTTCCAAGCTGAAGTCCACGTGACCCACCTCGTACTTGGCTTGTCCGCTGTCGTCTCGTAGTCAGCTAGCCTGTTTCCAATGTTAGTGTTGTTATTGGCAGGTCAATGACTGATTACGACGCGGGGCATTGAGGCTCTCGCCGATGCAGGATAACCAGCTACTTGTGGCAACATGTTGACATGGTGTAGTCACTTTGACCCTGAATGTTTAGGGCATTAAGGTTTTGCACCAAGTCCTCTTTCCCTCTTATTGTTTATCGTTCCATAGCTTATCGTGGTTGTCTAGCAGCGATGCTTCAACTCAACTGACTAACATACTGCTGTTGATGATGATGGTGATGATATAATAACGAGGCAGCATCTCTAATCGCGGTTGCATTGCTACTGTCGATGTGGATAATGATGAAGTGCTGAACGGTTGTTGATAGGTGCAGTTATCTGTCCTGAGGTTCGCGTGATACGCTACCATACAATGACTGAGTAGATTGTCGTCCAAAGCACAGAGTTTTTGTTGCATAAACATTCATGCCCATACATTACAATACCTTCGGCCGTCTTCCGATGGGCGCTCTACCTCAGCTGTACTTTGCACGAATGCTTTTAAATTACGGTTGTGCAATGTTTACGAGTTTTATTTGTTTTCATTTTATTTACCATCATAGAACCGAGAGTTGCAAATAATGCGGCAACTGGATCATCCAAATATTGTTCAACTGAAGTACTTCTTTCATATCTTTGGGGAACGCGTAAGTGAGAACTCAGTATTTTTGTTTGTCGTTGTTTTGATCTCTTGTGCTCTGTTGCCGTTTTGTCACATGCATTGTCCTGTCGTTACCTATTGTTTGCGTCTAGTTAATGAATTCGGCTCTGCCCCGCTTGATTTTGTTATCGTTCCTATTCATACGGGAAATTCCTTATCTTTATAAACATACCGACAAGAGCTCAGGGTGATGTCCGATCCCTATCATTGCTAGCGTTCCGCTAAAGATCCTACGAGATCCACTTTTGTGATACACCAGTCATCCGTTACATTGTATTGTTGCAGTGACTTTTTAGTATGTGGGGTTGGTTAACTAGCTTAGCTTGCAGCCATTTCCAGTCCTTATCATTGGCTTCTGAAGCGAGCCGGTGTAAACAGACATCCTTGGATTACTAACCAACGTTGACTACCATGGTTCATTAATTGACATTGAACCGAACTGCGGACACTCTCATTTGTTTGTAATAGTTACCAGCTATTGATCCCGATTAATTTCGTTTCGCTTATTTCATTGGGGTTTCAATGATAACGACTTAGGTACCGAGCTAACTGAGTTAGTTATCCAGTTGTTCGGCCGATTTCTGATTATCTCAAATCATCTGCAAACCGGAGGCTATAAAATGAACTGTTTTTGAAGCATTTATTTTCCTTTAGTTCTTTAAAGAAAACCGGCGAATGCATGCATTTCGTATTGTCTCATCAATGCCTTTAACAGTAACTCTCAGTAGTTCAATATTTCGGAATATACTTTGAACCGATTGGGATCTCATGATTTCAGGTTTTGAATACAAATCGCTCTTTGTAGGGTTTATTATGGCCGTAGTAAAACTTTACAAAAATCGATTTGTATTCAAAACCTTCTGAAACTCGCAGTAATATTTATTCAGCGTAGGGTTCGACTAAATGTACGTGAATACAAACAGACCAACAAACAACAAGCGAGACGGGGTTATTACCTCCATCCCCAAGGTAGTCTAAGACTGACGGATTATTGTTTCTGAACACAAAGCATTGGCTTAATCCGGTTAATTGCAACCGCCTCTGTGTAGCAGTGGAGGTGAGAATTAGTGTTTTGTACTAAGTTTGTAAGCGCAGATTTGACCTCGACTCGGTGACCTGTGGTCAATAAGTGTCCACCGATCGAAGAAGCCGGTGGTCTACGCGGACAAGCAGCTTGAGCTCGGTCAATTTCCTGCGCGGTCGAATGTTGAACCCACTTAGGCACATGCTCACTCATTCGGGAGCTCAGCGTTCCATCGGTTCCGCCTATGTAACTGGCTCTACATTCATATACGAATTCGTGTATGCAATGTGATTTGGCCCCAATAAGCTGAATTTCCTTTACAGAAGGGAGCGACGGCTTTTAGGTCGGTTACTGACAGCCACCTTGGCGTCGTAAGCAAGTACTCTGCATTGCGCAGATCAGGTGCTTTGTGGTCTTCAGCAAAGAAACGTCACCATTGAATGGGCATTAAATGACTAAAAGCTTCTTAGTTACTGTGTGCACTAGCTCCCTTGGTCGCATTTGACTATACTTCTTAAGGAACCTTCTAGAGTAGCCGTTTTCAATAAGCTTATTTGTAATGAACTGCAGTTCGTCAACCAGGCAATCAGCTGAGCAGATTCGTCTAGAAAGACTGATCAGAGTACTCACGAGCGTCCGCATATATCGCAATTGTGTGTAGCTAGTGAAATGCAGATGCTTGCCGGACCATGTTGCTTTCCTGTATACGGATCTCTTAACCTGCCTGCTTTCTCTGCGGATAACGAAGATATCCAAATAAAGGAGGTAGTTTTACTTCACAGGAGACCCGCAAGTTGGTACACGCAGCATTTACTTACGTTAACAACTGCTCCATCTTATGCTCCGATAAACAAAATGCCAAAATACCATTCACGTAGCATTGAGATATTATTCCAGACATGCCACGTTCTACCATTACCATTAAGAAATCGGCACCTAACGGGCCCAAAGGGCCGCCCATTGCTACTCCATCAATTTGACAAGTCAGTGTATTTCTGAAGTGAATCGACATTCGTCGTCTCGGTAGTTTCGGTGGGTGGTACGGAGAACTTTCTACTAGTTCACAACGATAATCAACTGTTTGGTGAGGTGGATCATGGGTAGACAACGATTCCACCACTGACGAGTACATGACCTTATCGAATACTTTAAGTTTGTCGACGTCGTCAATAAGCTCGAAGCTGCAGTCGTTGAGTTTGGGATACACCTATCGTCTCGTTTTTGTCGCAAATTGCATGGACCACAGTTTTTGTAAGGTAGTTAGTTTGCTGATTTGATCGACAGTGGTCCGAGCAACTAAATGCGACGGATGTACTTGTCATGATTGGGGTTACCATGAAATTAGGACGTGAGATCACATGAGAGAACAGGCTAGTTGCTATACAAAATGCTACCACAAAGCGGCAGTTGAAAAATGCTTAAGTATGCCTATATTTTGCAACCACAGATCTTTCGAACATAACATAAAAAATTTGCCAACTACGCTCAATAGGAATAAATAAAGAAATATGTGCAAGCTTTCACCTCATGCTGATGTTGATGTTGCATACCTAATGTTTCACCGCAGATGGGCTGCACCGACTTACACTTAAACTAAATCTTTTTAACTCGTGAAATATGCCCATTGGGAAGTAATAGTTTGAATCAACGAAGAAATTTCCTTTCGATACTGCTCTTCAAGCTAATACATGTATAAGTGGTTAGAATTGCGACAGGCTAAGATAGCTGCGCTGGAGTTGATTCAGTTCGAACGGGCTGCTTTATTTGTATATCAGGTTCCCCAATCGATCAAGATAGTAACGTTTATGGAGTCACGGCGTCACCGACTGAGATCCAATCAAGCGGCACTCACGGTGAAATCAGGACCAGAGCAAATGTAACATCTGCACTAGCCTCCTCTGTATGCAAAGTTCCGGTTACATTAGCCGGATAGCAATGGCCTCGGCCGTCATTAATAGGCGCTTTTTAATTCCTTTTGATTAGCGTTTCAGTGGGGCATAGGAAACTTTAAAAGCTTCCGAAGTCACAACTTGATGGCCGCTTTGGATTAAATGCTCCAACATATAGCCGTTGGTATGTCCAACTGTGCGATTCCATAATGCTGCTATTCGTTTGGGCCTGGATATAAAGTATTCCACACAATTTGATTTGCTACATGTTCCGTGTCAGTATTGCGTGTTAATTTTCACTCAAATTCTGTTAGTTGTCTGATATCTCCAGTGTAGCTGCGCTTGATGTGAATGTTGACAAAGTGCGTACTTTGGTTATAATAGATCCAGATGACTGCTAATCTTTGCTAGACGGACGGGGTCCACGATTCTCGTGGCCGTGCTAGGCTCAAATAGTGGTTCCACGCATCCAGTATGGAGTGGGCTAAGGCCCATCTACTCCCTTGTGTTCATCTCGCACGCATAAGTTTCCAAGTGCACTGGGTCCATTGACTAAAAGTGGCTCCCATCCACATGCCTCCCTGTCTTTTTCCTTCGGGTTTACACTAGATATGGGGTGTATGGCCTCCATAGGACAGCCACAGGACGCCTGTGCCTACAGAGGGGCCATGGGTGGCTTGCGCTGCACCACCCACAGCTCTATCCACACACCCCATATCCAGTGTAAACCTGAAGGAATAAGACCGGGAGGCACTTTTCATCAGCGGAGCTGGCCCACACTCCTCCACAGGCAAACACAAGCACACTGTTTTTGGGAATCAGTCGCACACAAGGCGGTGGCTGGACCCTAGTCCGCTCCACACTGAGTGCATGAAACCGCTCTTCGAGCCTAGCACGGCCACAAGCACCGTGCACCCCGTCCCCTCCAGCAACGGTTAACTGTCTCCTGGAGCAAGTATAGATGCAGTGGTGGGTACTAGACGGGTAGGAACCTTGTCCACATCAACCGCAGCCTTACCGATGACAGAACCATGGCGTTAATGGAACCTAAAAAGGTTTGTTCGGGAAAGGAAAACGCCGTTAAAATTTTTATTCGTTTAATATTAATTTGTATGAAGGGCGAACTTTAGCGCTGCATTGATGCCATTAATTTCAATTGTGGGCCATTGCCTCCAAGACTTCCGACCATTTGTAATCCCCATTACGTGGTTCCCAACCTCGAAGACGGACGGATCTTGCTGATGCCAAACATTAGGTGGCGGTAATACAACTCCCGAGATAAGTGGAGCGATTAACTTACTTCAGGCGAACACCTGCAATTGTGAGCGTGGGCACATGTACTTGCCAATCTTGGAGCAGTGCTTTACACTTGGATGGGACAAATGGCAAACCATAATAAGATGTCTCGATCGTTAACCATTTCAAAACCTTTTGGATTGTCTGTGGGTCTTCCCCCAACACAGCGATGTCATCAGCGTAATCCAGACCCGAAACTTTGTCATTGAGGAGGAGCTCAACGCCGCATTTCTCCGCTCCTTCTGGCGCGCTGTGGTAAACATCCTCGATGGCTTAGTTGAATAAGTGAGGTGAGATAGGGCAATCTTGGCTTACCCCACTGGTAACAGCAAACGACGAGGAATGCCTTCCATAAGCTTTAACTTTGCCGGATGTGTAACGATAGAATTATTTCAGGATTGCGACGAATTTATTGGGTGCACCACAGACATTTCTGAAGGGATCTCTCTATGGAGTCCAAGGTTGCACGGAAGCCCAAAAACACCACTATCGTTGGTCTCCAGTGGACGTAACGATGTTAATGTTTGACGAAGCGTAAAGATCTGGTCGACGTAACCTTCATCGGTGCGAAAACCACCTTGTTCCTCGCGAGATACTCCCCCGAGTTGCTGAAAACCCGCAAAGCAATAAGCGCACAGAAACATTAGATGCGACTGAGATATTTGCCATTCCTCAATGCCTTAAAATGCGTTAACTTTGGCTTCATGGGGAAACTTGTGACCAAAATGGAAAAAGTTTAAACTTAGAAAGCACTTAATTTATTTTTTAGTGTGGTAA